AAGCCTCGCCTGCGTGCTGGTTCCAAAAATCACTGCCCAGCCCACAGATATATCCTGGGTCCTGCTAGGCTTGGGACAAGATGGGAGCTCCCATTAGCTGAGAAGAGGGGACAAGGAAAGTGGGTTCAAAGGAAATTAATAAAGTTTGGGCTTGCAGACACTGAGCAATGTTAGGACATGGGTGTTGCTAAATAAATATTCTGTCACCTGCAGGGTTTGAAGCAGACCCCCCACCCCCACCCCGCGCGCGCTAAAGTGCTGGGCGTGGGCGGACCTCTGTGAGGTCTAGGCCAGCCTAGTCTACATGAGAGTCACAGGCCAGCCAGGGATAGAGAGAACCTATCTCAAGACAAAACAAAGAGACAGACCTTGAGCAGACTGCAACATCTGGGTGAACATGCCTAACCGGCAGTTGGATGAACCTGGTGGCTTTCGAAGTGGGTTGAAGGGTAGAAAACAAAGAGCATTTAAGATACCTTTTTTGGGGAGCGGGGTTTCGAAGCAAGGTTTCTCTGGCATTGGAAGCTGTCCTGACGCTAGCTAGCTCTTGTAGATCAGGCTGGTCTCGAACTCACAGAGATCCGTCTGTCTCTGCCTCCCGAGTGCTGGGCTTAAAGGCGCGTGCAACTATCGCCCGGCACATGTAAGATATCTTACAGAAGCTCCAACCTCAGAGACATGGGAGGGATGACAGAAAAATGGTCACAGGGAGGACTGAAGCAGCTGAGTCTCAGGCAACACTAGGTGGTGCCCGCCAGCCAGCACCCAAGAGTCAGGAGCCATATGGCTGTAGAGCAATGAATCAGGAGCTGAGGAAATGGAGTCAAGGAGTCTAGACAGCTGGTCATGACTCCAATATGTCCTCCTTTATATTTATTTTTTGAGACAGCCTCTCACTGTGTAGGCCTGCCTGGCCTGCAACTGGCTGTGTAGGCCAAGCTAGTATGGATCTCACAGAGATCCACCTTGCCTCCGCCTCCTCAGTGCTGGGATTAAAGTCATGCAGTACCATGCCCACCCCAGCATGCCCAGTTCAATGAAGAAGACTAAGATGTTTAAATGGGCTGGGTGGCGATGGCACATGCCTTTGATCGTAGCACTCAGGAGGCAGAGGTAGATGGATCTCTGAATTGGAAGCCAGCCTGGACAGCCAAGAATGTACACAGAGAAACCTTGTCTCAGAAAACAAAAAAGAAAAAAAATTAAATGGGTTCAAAGTTTCTGCCCCAGAGGAGGCATATAGGAAGTATAGTCAAGGGAAGGCAAAAATTAGGGTGTGTCCCAAGGGCTGGCAACCCTTGACCTGGAGACCCCAGTCTCCTAAGCTGTTTCCTCCAGTGTGTGGTCTGCTCAGGAAAAGGGCGCTGGATGCATCAGGGAGGGGGTGGTCAGGAAGATAAAAGTGAACAGAAGGAGTTGGACAAGTGTTTGAAGTGATCAAGTGTGGGACCCAAGGAGGGCAGGGAGAGATGAGGTGACTGAGAGAAAGTAGAGGTAAATGGCTTAGGCCCTGCTGAGTAGTCAGTGCGCCAGGAGTGTGGGATGCTCTGCCTTCAAGGCCTGGCCAGGGAGCTTTAGAGGAAAGGTCTTTGGAGATGTGGCACACAGACAAAGCACTCAGTGCCATAAGGAAGGAAGGTAGGTGACAGCAGAGATGTGGCCTTGGGGAGCAGGAAGGCTGGTGATCTGGCTTCAAGGACTGTGGGAAAATGAACAGCCTGTGCTGTGGGGAAGCTAAGCCCTAGACAAAGCCAGGTGCCAGTTTCTGAGGTGACTGCTGAGGGTGTCGAGGACAGTGAGGATGGTGGAGAGAGAAGACAGCAGCCTGCAAGGTCTGCGTAGATGACCTTTTGAGCACAGGGTTCCACTCTCAGGTTGGCCTGCCCAGGCCCTTGGGGTCAGAGAATGAACATTCAGTATCTAGGACTGTGTAGAGAAGCTCCAAATAAGTTTTTTTAAAGCAAAAACAACAAACAGAAACAAACCTAAAACATAAGGCAAGTACAAATGAACTTTAGACCACCAGAGGAGTGTCTGCTTGAAATAAGGCTTTAAAGAAAAGCTGTCTTCAGCTCTGGCCTCCAGTTCTATGTGAACCCCCTTCCCTTTCTCCCATCTCCATCTCCAGACCATTCTTGTGGAGGTGAAGTCCTCAGAGGGTCCAACACCTCATGAGAAAACAGGCTCAGTGTTTGTCTAGGGAACAAGGCAAGAGTGGCGGCTGCCTCCAGCACCAGACTCTAATAATGGTGGGTGTGGTGTTTAGTTCAGGCCTTCCCTCAGTTCCTTCTTCACAAGGTTTGCAGTTCTCTCCAGACCAGGAAAAGCCTGGCCAGGTTGGAGTCACTATATTCAGAAAAGGGCTTGGTGGGACTGGAGAGATGGCTCAACGGTTAAGAGCATTGGCTGTTCTTCCAGAGGGCCTGAACTTGATTCCCAGCAACCACATGGAGGCTCACAATCATCTGTAATGAGATCTGATGCCCTCTTCTGGCCTGTAGAGATAAATGAATACATAATAAATAAATCTTTTTTTTTTTTTTTTTTTTGGTTTTTTGAGGCAGGGGTTCTCTGTGTAGCTTTTGAGCCTATCCTGGCACTCACTCTGTAGACCAGACTGGTCTCGAACTCACAGAGATCCACCTGCCTCTGCCTCCTGAGTGCTGGGATTAAAGGCGTGCGCTACCAATGCGGGGCCTAAATAAATCTTTTTGAAAAAAAGAAAAGGGTCTGGCACAGTGTGCCCTCCTCCCAACACTAAGAATAGCCCTAAGGAGTGGTGGCACCTGTAAGGTGTCAGGAGTGCATACGTTTGTATTCCATCCTAACCGTGGCTTCCCCGCTTCAGGAGTGTGGGGCCTTAGGCAGGTTTCTACCCAGGGAACACAGCAAGTGTGTAGCTGTCGGTGTAACTACAATGTTCCCAGCCAAGTCTGTTATCTATAGATAAAGATTTCAAGGTCAAATGGTTCCAATAAAGGGCCTTCGTCCAAATAACACCTCCAATGCCAGCCACAGTCTAGTTTTCAGTTCCTTTTTTTTTTTTTTTTTTTTTGAGTTTTTCGAGGCAGAATTTCTCTGTGGCGTTGTAGTTCTTGTAGACCAGGCTGGTCTCGAACTCACAGAGATCCACTTGCCTCTGCCTCCCAAGTGCTGGGATTAAAGGCGTGCACCACCACCCCCTGGCTTTTTTTGTTGTTTGTTGCGATAGGGTCTCTTTATGTAGCCCCGGCTGTCAGAGTTCACTCATATAGACCAGGTTTGCTTCCAATTCACAGAGATCCTGCCTCTGCCACCTGCCTCTGCCTCTGGAGTGCTGGGATTAAAGGTGAGTCACAAGTGGCTTTTTTTTTCTTTTTTAGATTAAAAGGTTTGTTTTTGTTTTAATATATTTTAAAAAAATTACTTGTTTAGCAGGGCATTGGTGGCACATGCATTTAATCCTAGCACTCGGGAGACAGAGACAGGCAGATCTCTGTGTGTTCCAGGCCAGCCTGTCTACAGAGCAAGTGCCAGGATAGGCTCCAAAGCTACACAGAGAAACCCTGTCCCAAAAAACCAAAAATAAGTAAATTTGTTTATTTTATTAGTGCTGTGTGAGAGTGTCAGATATCCTGGAACTAGAGTCACAGACAATTGTGAGCTGCCATTTGGTTGCTCGGAATTGAACTCAGGTCCTCTGGAAGAGCAGCCAGCGCTCTTAACAACTGAACCATCTCTCCAACATGTTTGTTTTGAAACAGTGTTTTTCTTTATAGACCTGGCTATCCTAGAATTTGCTCTGTAGACCAGGCTGGCCTTGAACTCAGAGATCCATTTGCCTCTGCTTCCTGAGTGCTGGCATTAAAGGCTCAGCAAAAGTTTGCTTTATTTTTTAAATCTTTAAATCTCTCTCTCTCTCTCTCTCTCTCTCTCTCTCTCTCTCTCTCTCTCTCTTTCTCTCTGTGTGTGTGTGTGTGTGTGTGTGTGTGTGGTACAGGCATGTTGAGTACAGTGCCCACAAAAGCTAGAAGAGGGTGTTAGATGCCCTAGAGTTAGAGGTGGTTGTGAGCTACCCTGTGTAGGTGCTGGGAACTGAACTCAGGTCCTCTTTGAGAACAGTATACACAGTTCACTGGTGAGCCATCTCTCCAGCCTCAAAACTGAAATTATTAATTTCAGAGACTGGAAAGACTGGAGGAGGAGGAGGAGGATAGAGTTACTTTGCAGTCATCACCATGCTCAGTGACTTCCCTGTCCTCGTGGGAAGAGATTGTGCTTAAGGCCTTTGTAAATTATTTGAATACCAAGCCTTTTACATCAACAACAACAACTAAACAAAGCAAAACACTTCACCCGCTGTGTGGAATCAGTGTATCCAAGTTGATGCAAGTATTGTGATATACAGATACTGTATAGTGATGAGACCCAGATGTGTGTCACTAACAAGTGGGGATTAATAGGGCTTTAGCTTTCTGAAAACCTTAGTCAGTGGGCAGTCAAGTTATTGAACTTACAAAGCTAGCAGAGAAGCAAACATGACATTTTACATTTGATAAAACCACAGCAATGCGTCTTTCTACTAAATATAATGGCAACAAAGATCCTCCAAAAATCACTTGCTGGCCAAGCATGGTGGTATGTAGACACAACACTTGAGAGGCAGAGGCAGGAGAATTAAGAGTGCAAAGGTGGGGGCTGGAGAGATGGCTCAGCAGTTAAGAGCACTGACTGTTCTTCCAGAGGTCCTGAGTTCAATTCCTGGCAACCACATGGTGGTTCACGACCACCTTAAATGAGATCTGGTGCCCTCTGCTGGCATGCAGGCAGAAGACTTTATACATAACAAATAAAACCTTTAAAAAAAAAAAAAAAAAGAGTGCAAAGGCGTGCTACATGGCAGGTTCAAGGCCAGTCTAAACTACATGAAACCCTGCCTTTAAAAAAAAAAAAAAAAGAACTTTTAATCCCAGCACTTGGAAGGCAAAGTGAGTTCTCTGTGTGTTTGAGACCAGCCTGGTCTACAAGAGCTAGTTCCAGGTCAGCCTCCAAAGCCACAGAGAGACCCTGTTTCGAAAAACAAAAACAAAAACTAAAAAAGTGTGTATTGAGACAAACACAATTAGCTCCTCAGTGACCCCTGGTGGTAGGAAGGGAATTCTGGCATCATACTAAGTGGACTAGTATTTTCAGGCTCTGGAAAACTACTGTGGCTCACATGGATAGACTCACAGCTCAAAATGAAACCATGAGGTTGCCATTCATCAACACCAAAGGACAGCCATCAGACCAGAGCTAGGATCCTGCCAATGCTGGAGATTTGGCAGGGGGTATGCAGGAGACTGGGAACCATCTCCAGAATCCCATGGTTTTACCAGGCTGCTGGGGCTGGCTTTTAGCCATCATCTTCTGGTGTGTGTGTGATCAGATGAGCAGAGCCAGCAGGGGCTAATCCTGAAAGACAAAACTATTTTGTCCTTAGCTGGGAGTTAGACTTTGAAAGTTGCATTAGCCAGGGCCTGGTGGTACCTGCCTTTAATCCCAGTAGTCCCATCACCAGGGAGGCAGAGGAGGCCTCTTGCTCATCAAACAGCACCACTGAGCCTCACACTCTAATGCAGCTCTTTCTTTCTTTTTTTTTTCTTTTTTTGAAACAGGGTCTCACTGTGTAGCTCTGACTAGTGTGGAACTCAGTATGTAAACCAGGATGGTCTTGAACTCAGAGATCCTGCTGCCTCCTAAGGGCTGGGATTAAAGACATGAGTCAGCACACCCTGTTCCCAGCATTAGGCATTCTCAAGGTACATGGGTTTCAATTACATTTTGGTGGTGGAGGTGAACTTGGTGGCCCATTCCTTCATGATCTGCCCCACTCCCTCTTTTTATAGCTCACTGATTGTGCTAACCACATACATGAGTGTGAGTGTGCCCACATACACGAGTATGTGTGTGTCCATTCGTTGGACTGTGGTCTTCCAACCAGGAGTCACACTTTTTTATTTTCTTTGCTTTTTGGGACAGGGTCTCTCCGTGTAGCCCTGGATGTCCTGTAACTTGCTCTGTAGACCAGGCTGGCCTCTGATTAAAGCCCCTGGTAGGTGGTGGCAAGTGCTACACTCTTAAAGAAAACTGACTTTCCTTCTCCTAGAAGCTGTCAATAGCGCCTCAGCAAGGGGTGGGGGCTTATGAGCCCCTTCTGACTCCACGCTGGAATGTTGAACAGCTTGATCGTGTGTCAGCAACTGCAGTGCTGTGAGTTTATGAGTGCAGTAGTCCTGTCACATCCAGAAGACAGATCTCGGTGGTGGTTTTTGCCTTTAATCCCAGCACTTGGGAGGCAGAGGCAGGCCAGTCTTTGTAAGTTTGAGGCCAGCCTGGTCTCCAGAGTGAGTTCCAGGACAGCTAGGGCTGTTACACAGAGAAACCCTGTCTCAAAAAACCAAAAAAAATGAGAGAGAGAGTGAGAGAGTGAGAGAGAGAGAGAGAGAGAGAGAGAGAGAGAGAGAGAGAGAGAGAGAGAGAGAGAGAGAGAGAGAGAGAGAGAGAGAGAGAGAGAGAGAGAGAGAGAGAAAGAGGAAAAAAGAGGTTCACCATATGTGCTCTCCAACCTCTGGCTCTTCTAATCTTTCCAGCCACTTTTTCTCAGTGGTCCCTGAACTTAAAGGTGATATGAAGGGGTAAAGGAATAATGGAGAGGGAGGTTTCACTGAGGAGGGGGATGAGAGCAGAGAGCTGAAGAGTGGAGGAGGGGATTGGGAGAGGATAACCAACACTAAGGATGTTTGAAAAGCCACACGGAACCTGGTGTTTTTTTTTTTTTTTTTTTTTTTTTTTTTTTTTTTTTTTTTTAGACAGGGTTTCTCTGTGGCTTTGGAGGCCGTCCTGGAACTAGCTCTTGTAGATGAGGCTGGTCTCGAACTCAGAGAGACCTGCTGGCCTCTGCCTCCCATGTGCTGGAATTAAAGGCATGTGCCACCACTGCCTGGCTCAATGCCTTTCTAAAAAGAAAACCAATACAAGGTACAACCCTTGATCCTGGATTGGGGGGAAACACCTCTTAATCGAAATCTGGAGGACAACTGGAGAATCTGAACATATAAAGTAATGTACCATGCAGACTAATAAAGGCTGGTGAGATAGGTGAACAGGTTCAAGTGTTTGCATGCAACCCTGATGACCCCAGTTCAATCCCTGGAACCCACTCTTCCTACCAGATGGAAGAGACAGGATGACCGAAATCTTAGGGTTACAGCCAGACAGCAAAAATAACTAGAGCCAGGTGTGGTGTGTGCACCATTAGTCCCGGCACTAGGAGGGAGGCAGGTCGATCTACGAGTTCCAGGCCAAACTGGTCTATAAAGTGTGACCCTGTCTCAGACAACCAACAAACCAACCAAACAAACAAAAACAGAGGGTGGAGCTGGAGAGATGGCTCAGCACTGCAGCTGGGTGGTGGTGGCACATGGCTTTAATCCCAGGGCTCAGAAGGCAGAGGCAGGTGGATCTCTGTGAGTTCCAGGACAGTCAGGGCTACACAGAGAGACCTTGTCTCAGGAGGTGGGGGAAGGGGTAACCCTTGGCTACACATTGAGTTCAAGGTCAGCATGGGCAAAAAGAATAATATCATGACATTATATTCTCCAGCCTCAGGACACCTATGGGAAAGTTAGGCAGTCTGGTTTCCGGTCTGAATTATACTGCTACAAAGCCCAGACTTCCTCCTTAGTGACCAGGGCTTCTAGAGATTGAACAGAAAGGAGGGAAAGTCATGTGTTTTCACTAGTCTGCTTTACCCATAGCAACCTACTTTTATTTAATGTTTTTGATCCCACATGAAAACAAGACATCCATGATGTACATAATTAGATCACGATGTCTCTGGTGTCATTTAACTGAGCTTCTGATACATTCTTGGCAATGTTAAGTTTCTGGGAAGAATTAAAAACAAACAAGTGATCTCCTCAAAGCTAAGCCTGGAAATGTAAGCACATGTCTCCAGATTTTGCCAAGCTGGACAAAAACTGAAGAGAAACAAAGGGGGTGTGTGTGTGGAAATAAGACAGCGGCACACTGTTTTCAAATGTCACATTTAATGTTTTCACCACTGTACTTCAAATCTACATTGTACAAAGTGACCAGAAAGTGTGCCACGGTAACTGACCAACCTCTGAGGTTGTACCTTTCATACCAGTGTCTTCTTGGGCTCTTTTGATACTAAACACGTTTCTCATTCAAGTGAATTAAAATGCTTCAGTTGGGTTGATTCTCAGGAGCCTCATAAAAAAACAAAAACAAAAACAAAGATATTGCACCATCTTTGTTTAGTAATTCAATGTTTGTTTCTTTCACAGCAAATAATTACTTCATTGAAGTTAAAACTTCCAAACATAACTTAATAGTCTTCAGATTCAGCTCAGATCGCTCAAGATGAAAATACTCTGCTACATACAGATAACTTACAATAACTTTAACAGTTAATTGTCCATAACACACACCAAGCTTTTTCCTAGACCACTTTTAAGACGATCCATTAGTACTCCTTGTACAGGTGAAAAACGCTCTTCAATTTTCTTGTCTTTTTATTTTTAATATAAAAGTTGGAAGGGACATTCAAGTTTCAAGTCTCCACATTGAACTTAAAAAAAAATAGTCATCATCAGCGTGTGGAGGTAAACAAGCCAAGTTGTGTAACTCCAGGAGGTAGAGGCCTTCGATTGGTGTTCATATTTACATATGCACAGAGTTCAGTGTTCCAGCAGGAAAAAGAATTTGTCAAAAAGTTATAAGCTATTTACTACTGTGACATTTCAAGACTCCCACAGCTTTGCCTAAGGACACAAACACATTTGACATGATTCCCTATGTGCCTTTGTGGCTTTAATTTTTTTAAATTTCTTTTTGTCTTTTATTTATTATTTTTCACTGTCCAGTGCAGGAAAAGTCTCACAGAATTTCACAGACCTAAAATGTGCAAGCTAGTTCTCTCTATACAGCAGTGTTGGGATTCTTTTGAAATTAGCCCAGAAATGAATTATTTACACACATGAAAGATGCATGCTTGGGTCTTTTTTTTTTTTTTATGTAAGAAAGAGCAGAAAAACTTCTAATAAAAATAGATTAAATATATATATATATATATATTTATACCAGATAAGGAAAACAGGGTTAGTCTCTCCTAGTCAGGTCCAGTCTCTCTACGCACAACATTGGAGTTCAGACAGCACACATCACCATCACGGCTCTAATGAGAAGCCGATATAGGGCTTGATCATTAGGTGGCATGCCCCTCCCGCTCCCTCCCCCAGTGCAACCACGATCAGCTCACGTGGCTCCATGATTGGTCACAGGCAAGCTTTCTAGACTCTTTAGTTTTAGAAAACCCCAAATCTTTTTTTTTTTTTTTTTTTTTTTTTTTTTTTTTTTTTTTTTGGTTTTTTGAGACAGGCTTTGGAGCCTACCCTGGCACTCACTCTGGAGACCAGCTGGCCTCAAACTCACAGAGATCCACCTGCCTGTGCCTCCCGAGTGCTGGGATTAAAGGCATGCTTCACCAATGCCCGGCTCGAAAACCCCAAATCTTTAGGAATGGCTCAAATATCAAAATGTATGACTGTCGTCTCTCTGTGTGTATGTGTACATGTGAACAATCTCACTTCATAAAAAAAAGGAAAACAAAAACAAAACATAAACCCCAAACGCCCAAATTTGGTTCAATTCTCATTTGTTCTGAGGCGAGCCATACAGCTGCACTGAATTCTTTAACCATGTGCAACTCTGGGTAAAATATTTTTTTTTTCTTCTAAAAGCACAACCACTTTACAAGATTAAAAGTCTAGTAACATTTCTAAATATTATTCATATCATACAAGTAGTGGTTGTTAATTTAAAACTTCATTAGTAAAATTACAGTACAAGCATGATTAACTCTCCAGAATTGCAAATCCCAGACTCCAGTGAAAGCTACATTACATCTTCAGTAGTACAGTGTCTTCCACTGTCACTCCCACACCAGAGGAGACGGTGGCATCTCAGACGGCTGGGCGACGGTGGAACTGGAAGAAAAGGGAGACACCAGAATCAGCGGCACCTCACAGAGCGAGAGGGCAGCTCCACTTCTGTCCAGTAGCCCTCCATTTGGAGGGGCCTGTGCAGGGCATTTCTGCATTTTTTGTTCTGTTGCTTTAACTTTTCTACATTGAGTTTGTTGCAAACCATTCATTTAGAGATCTATTATTCAGAATGTGGCAGTAATCTTCAGTAGATTACTCAGGGATGGGAGAGGCCATGTTATTTAGTGGGGAGTGGGAAGGATCCTGCTTGTCTACCTCAGAGTAATGTGGAAAATATATGCACAGTGCTTTCCATGGACCCCACATTATGATTTTAAAGTAAATAGTAGCTATTATAAATAATGTTATCCATAGTCAATCAGGAAAATGCCCTTAAGAAGTAACTCTCGATGGGCGTTGGTGGCCCACACCTTTAATCCCAGCACTTGGGAGGCAGAGGCAGGCTGATCTCTGTGAGTTCGAGGCCAGCCTGGTCTACAGAGTGGAGTGCCAGGATAGGCTCCAAAGCTACACAGAGAAACCCTGTCTCAAAAAAAAAAAAAAAAAAAAAAAAAACAAAAAAAATTAAAAAAAGTCTCTCTCCAAAGTGTCAGCAAGTGGGGGGAGGGGAGGCGCTATGTGAAGAGGCCACATGAGCATTCTCACCTGGGCATTGCTGGTGCAGATGAGTCAGGGTCCAGCAATTGTTATCACAGACCTGGAACTAGTTAGTCCCTGAGGAGTCTAGGGTTGCTAATTAGAAAGGAATGGTAATCACTTTCCCTCCTGGAGCCCAGGAGAACAATGACTAGCACCTGGAAGATGCTAGAACACCTAATCGCCTGGGTCACTGACTCTTCTGGGAAAATATTAAAGTAATTTAAAACCACAGTAAAGTCAGTCAAAATGCGAATTAATGCCATCTTTCTACATGGGAAAAAAGTGGAGGGAATGAAAGACAACTGATCTTACTAATTTTATACACAATTCTTGAATTTGTTCCAACAGCTTCAATGCAGGGAAGGCCCTACTTCAATGTGGGAAAAGGAAAGAGAGAGAAAGAGAGGTCAGGGGTGGGGGTGAGGGTGGGAGGCAGACAGTGGCCTGGAACTCAAGTCCACCCTTTGTCCTGTGTCATGAAACTGGAGGTAGATCTGCTTGTGCGTCTCCTTTGCTACCTGGCTTCACATTCTTATTCGCCAAAAGAGGGCGCTGCAGGCTGGAGCATCCGGCAACAGCTTCCCTTCCTGCTCCTGGCCATAGATTTGTCTGCGCTTCTCTGAGGGCCGTTCTGCCCACCCTGGTACATGCCCCCCCTGCTCATGCTGTGTGTTCTCTCTTTCGAATTAGCTACTTCAAGCCCCACCACCACTCCGGAACTACTTTTATGCTCTTCAGAAATTAGATGTCCTCTCCTAGTTAGCAATACCTAGTATTAAAATCTTCCCACATTGTTAAAGTGGTTTCTGTCTTTCCACTGGAAATACGGGAAAGAGAGAGAAACAGAATGAAGCTTGCTAGAATCCAAAGTGGACTCCTCATAGCTCCTCTAGATAGAGGTCTGATTGCTCCCCCCCCCCCAACCCATCCAGGCTTATTGACACAGGAGGCTGAGACAGGAAGATAAATAGAAGAGCAGCCTGGGCTACATGGTGAGACCCTGTCTCAAAGAAACAATGAAACAAGACAAAATATAAACATACAATATACAAAGAGAGTCAGGTGGAGTACAGGCCTGGATCACAGTGCTGAGGCAGGAGGATCTCAAGAACAAGACTAGCTTGGGCTCACCCAGTAAAACCCAGACCAAACTAAACTAACAAACAAATGAATAAATAAACAAATAAATAAATGATAAAGATCAAGCCCACTCCCAGAGCCCTTGACTGTGTTATTAAAAGGGTGGAAGGTGGCAGGCCCAAGTTTTACACCTCTCAGCAGTGAGAGGCAACACCAATCCCACCCCCCCTCCCTTGGGAGGAGTTGGCCACAGGGTGAAGATGGAGGCTTCCTCCATTTATAACATCAATTTCCTATTGAACACTTTTTGTTTGTTTGGAGCTGTGGTCTTATGTAGCCTAGGCTTGAACTCATTATACAGCCTAGGCTGGCCTTGAACTCCCTTCTTCACTCTATTTCTTCTTCTTCTTCTTTTGTTTTTTTTTGTTTTTTTTTTTTGGTTTTTCGAGACAGGGTTTCTCTGTGTAGCTTTGGAGCCTGTCCTGGCACTCGCTCTGTAGACCAGACTGGCCTCGAACTCACAGAGATCCACCTGCCTCGGCCACCTTCACTCCACTTCTTAAGTGCTGGGATGACAAGCATGTGATACCAGGCCCAGCTTCTGTTGAACTTTATTATTAAAAAAAACAAAAACAGGGGCTGGAGAGATGGCTCAGAGGTTAAGAGTACCGACTGCTCTTCCAGAGGTCCTGAGTTCAATTCCCAGCAACCACATAGTGGCTCACAACCATCTGCAATGAGATCTGGTGCCCTCTTCTGGTGTGCAGATATACATGGAAGCAGAATGTTGTATGCATAATAAATAAATAGAATCTCTAATAACAAAACGAAAAAACAAAAGCTTTTAATAAAAAAATAAAAAAACAAAACAAAACAACAGCCAGGCAGCGGTGGTACAGCACTCAAGAGGCATAGGGCAGCCTGGTTTACAAATCTTGTACCAAGACAGCCAGAACTGTTACATAGAGAAACCCTGTCTGGAACAAAACAAAACAAAAGACAAACAAACAAAAAAGAAATAGGGCTGGCAAGATGGCTCAGCAAGAAACAGTTCCTGCCACCAATCATGATGACCTAGGTTTGATCCCCAGAATATACATGATTCACGAAAAGAGAACTGACTCCCACATAAATATGCACACGCAAAGCAAAGAGTTAAAAAACCCAAAACACCAAAAACAGGCTGGGTAACAAAATCACAGCACCCTTCCTTTAATCCTGAGATGTGAGAGTTGTGCAGACATAGTTACCTAATAAAGCTCTTAAAGGCAGCAGACTGCGGGTTGATGCAGAGAGGCACTCTGTTTCCTTTCTGCTGTTCCAAAATGAACTGGTGGATGATTTCTGCGGAGAAAACAAACACCGTCCACTCCACTGCCAACACGCAGGCTGGAAGTGTGGATTCCCAGCTAAGGCAGCCAGTGTCTGAACACAATGGCCTGCTGGGCTGGTTAAATCACACCAACACCCTTTATCAGTCCAAATCAAGTTCTACTTTTCTGAAGCCAAATTGATGGTTGTTGCTAAAAACAGACAAAAACTTCCCCAGAGACACTGCACAGGCTGGAAGCTCCACCAGCTGGGAGAGTCTGCCATAGGGGAAGTCTTCTAAACCCAAGATCACCTCAAGCTCTACCAAAGGGACAATCCTCAGCAGAACTTTATGAGTAAATAAATACTCCAATTCCCTTTTCTCATCACCATTCTCTCTAGTGGACTTTTACTTTTTGAAAATATGTCTAATGTTATATACAAAGAAGTTCAATACATTTTATTTAATGAAGTGACATGGTGAATACAGACACAATATATTTTGAGTCACACTCATTACGACTTGGAACAGAAACGGAGTCTTCATTCCTTCGGCTAATCTTCCCCTGGAAATAATGCTAACTCACCACTTTCTGCGAGTGTGCACATTCTCTCTCTCTCTCTCTCTCTCTCTCTCTCTCTCTCTCCACAGACAGCTACATGCAAAGCTGAAATAGACATCAGGCAGCTTTAGCAAGCCCGACTCTGTATCTCTGCTGTTTAATCAAAGATCACCGGTCACTGTCTGAATGATGTCAAAAGGCACTCACCTTTAACCTGTCGGACAGAGCTGAGGTTCTTCTCAAAGGTATCATCGAATTTGGGGTTTGTGACAGGCTCAAAGTCACTGGTATAGACTCTTCCCGTCGAGGTGGAAAAGCAGCACTTACACATACACGTGTGGTATCTTAGTCTCCCTTCATCTAGGTAGGGGTGGGCTAAGGCATCCTTAGCGGATATTCTTTTTGACTGAAATCAAATTTAGAGACCAGCACATCAACACTACAGATAAGCATGGCTGTCCATGTAGAATCTTTCACAAGACAGAGTTACATTACACAGCTTACACTTACAGCTTATACAGTTCTATGCTTACATAGAACATTACATAGAGCAAAGAGGGACAACTGAATTTAGAGGTGGGTGACAGAGTAAGTACATTTAAGATAACAACTGTCACTTCCGAAATGTCCTTCTACTAAATCTGAAGAGTACCTACCTTGAAACAGATGTACACAGGGACCCAAATGACAAATACCATGACATTTAAATATGTAATGCTTTGCATTTTAGACAGTAGGCTACACTTTGAAGAAGTGTCAGCATTTAGGAGATGCGATCATTCTGGCAATTTTAGAAAGCTGCTTAGAACTTGTATTCTCTTAGAATAGAGATGGACAAGGCAAAGCACACCCAGAAGCCACAGGACTAGTAAAGGGGCAGTGTGAATGCCAGGCTGAGACCACCAGCAGCAGCAGCAGCAGCAGCAGCAGCAGCAGCAGCAGCAGCAGCAGCCTTACTTCTGGCTTCTGAGGCCTTTGAATCAGAACAGTTAATACACTAGCACATCAGGCTTACTGACCCATAAACTTTAACTCCAGCAAAAAGTGAAAGAAAAACCAACCATCCTCAATGTTCAGTGGACTATGAAGAGAAAGTGGATCTAACAGGACTCAAGGATGGGCTCAATGGGAGATAATGAAAATGACAAGCTGCCTTGATTCTAAGATGTTCAGCACTTCACACATCTTCAGGTTTTCAGGTGCTTTTTTCTTTTTTCTTTTTGGTTTTTTGAGACAGGGTTTCTCTGTCGCTTTGGAGGCTGTCCTGGAACTAGCTATTGTAGACCAGGCTGGTCTCAAACTCAGAGATCCTGCCTGCCTCTGCTTCCAGAGTGCTGGCATTAAAGGTGTGCACCACCACCACCTGGCTATGTTTTCAGGTTCCTAAGGCCACAATCTAAATCATCTCACTAGCTCAAGTTCTCATGAAAGGTAGCTTTAAACTCACCATGTGGTCAGGCTGTGGTGGTGCATGCCTTTAGTTCCAGCACTTGAAAGGCAGAGGCAGGCGGATCTCAGTGAGTTAGAGGCAAGCCTGGTCTACAAAGTGAGTTCCAGGAGAGCCAGGACACAAGAAACCCTGTCTCAAAATAACAACAATAATAACAAAAACCAACTCAACCATGTGGCTAAAGAGGACCTTGAAACCCCAACTTCACCCTGCAAGTAAAGCTGGGTTGATAGTTATACATCATCATGCCTGGTTCAAACTCAGCAATTTTTGCCCCTCATTAACCCCTCCCCCCCAGAATGTCCTGGCTGTACTGGAACTCACACCAGGGTGGCTTTGAACTAGCAGAGATCTGCCTGCCAAGTGCTGGGATTAAAGGCATGTGCAACCACAAACAGCCCCCCCTAATTTTTTCTTATGATTCTGTCTATAGATAGTTATATGGATCTGATTATTTCATAAGAAAGATATTCTCTTCTTACCACATATCATAACTTTGTGGGTTTTTAAAAAAATTCTTTCAATACCTCTTGTATTTTATATTTAGTTATTTCTTTGTATCTTATCAAGCATATTTTCTTTTTTAAATGTTTCCATTTGAATCTCTGTTGATAATAATTACTAGCACAGATATGAATGATAAATAATTTGGATGAATGAACAAATAAATAAACAGCAGACATCACAGTTCAGTTTGTAGCACATGTCCAGAAGAATTGAGTCCAGAAAAGAGGTTCAGAAAAGTTACAGCTTCAACCCAAAGAGTAAACATTTCCATATGCCACACAATGGGTGATTTTTCAAACAATTAAATTTCCCCCCTCTAGATTTAACTTGGTGTCAAATCCTTTTTTTTTTTATTTTTTATTTTTTATTTATTAGTTCAAGTTAGGGAACAAGCTTGTTTCACATGAGCTTTACCTAAGCTTTGCTTAAATCTAAACATCTATACAGTGATGAGCCACTGTGGGAAAACACAAAATAGGGGCTGAGGTCTGCCATTCCAGTCATTATTTACTCTGCCAATCTAGTCAAAGCCAGGATGCTACTTAAAATACCATTTTAAATGTTATTTAATAAATATAAAAATAGGGGCTGGAGCAATGGCCCAGCACTTAAGAGTATTCGGTGCTCTAGTAGATGACCAGGATTCAGAATCTAGCCACCACAGATGGTGGCTCATAACCACTTATAATTCCAGTTCAAGGGATCTGATTCCCTCTTCTGACCTTTGACAGCATCAAGCATATACGTGGTACACAGATATACATGCAGGCACAACATTCAAACACAAAATAACAGAAGTAAAAAAATACAAAAGTAAACTTACTGGATCAAAGACCAGCATCCTACAAAGTAGGTGAACAGCTTCATGTGTGGCTTGGCTGGATAGGGTGTAGAGTACAGGAAGAGATGGCTGTGAAAAGAGAAAAAAATAAAAAATATTTAGGCCTTAAGGTATTATATGGACATGGAATATAGTCAATTTATAGCAAAAGAATTAGCCAGGTCAAAAAGATGTTGTGAGCCGAGTGTGGTGGCACACACCTTCAATCCCAGCACTCAGGAGGCAGAGGCAGGTGGATCTCTGTGAGTTCTAGGCTAGCTTGGTCTACAGAGTGTCAAGCCAGTTAGGGATACACAGTGAGATCCTGTCTTAGAACAGTCACATAAATAAATAAATAAATAAATAAATAAATAAATGAATAAATGAATAAATAAGAATGAGTACAAACACCAAACATGTTTAAACTCAAAGGGAATGAATTTCAACCCACTGATCAGTCTTCAGAAGGGTCAGCTCTCACTGACTTCCAGCAGTGTACCTGGTCAGAGTACAGCAATAGCACAATAGGTCAGAGTACAAAAAATCAATGACAAAGGAAAACTGACCAAATAAAAAAGTGGTTGCTTTGGTAATAAAGGAAGACCAAACATGCTTAAGGATGGAGAAAAGAGATAAATTTAGACCACTACCCTCAGGAGTGTGCTCTCATTATGGTGGTTTTTGCCTGGCTGTACAAGGGTCCTTGGCAGGTGATCCTTTAGTTCACATCCAACTATCAAAAGGTTTAGACTTTGGCTGGCACCTAAGGGCCTGTGTTTGAGTCAGCACGTTAACTGAGGATTCACCATGTACTCTGGATAACAGGATGCACATAAAAGAAACCACCACCAGAACAAACTCTATTATCTTCAGAGTCTGTTGAATGGCAGACATGGTCCCTGCAGGAGACAGGACTGTTTTTACTAAGCTAAGCTTTGCCCCATCTAAGAGTCTGAGTTGCACAAAAGACAATACAATAAAAATGCTATATATTGGTTTTGCCTGCCAAGAACCCCTGATTTGCAGTGGCCCAACAATTCTTCCACTCTCAAAACCAGTAGTTTGGTTGGCTTTATTTCATTCTACCAATTTCAGTTAGGCCTAGACGATTGACTAACACTATTTTTTGAGGACCCAGCCTGTTTCTAGGCTAAACAGGCAATGAGATGGCCAGGCCCAACACATCCAACCCATTTGTCCCTTACCTGACTTTAATTTTTTTTTTTCAGTCTGCTGTGTCTGCAGACTCTTCTGCCTCAGCCTCCGAGTGCTGGGATTACAGATTAGCAGCATTGTGCTTAGTTAAGAAACTTAATTTTGTTTTTGGAGACAACCCTTAGTGCTTTGTGTCTGGCCCAGCTTTTTTCAAAAACTATCTACTGTCCACAAAACTCTGTGTAAGCTCAGCTTGGAGGGTGATCATTCCACAACCCCTAGTGTCTGTGGGTCAGTCAAAGCCTACACCGACAACTTTAATGTCGAGAGGTATACTTTGAACCTTGAGAAGGCTGTCAAGACCAAATGAAAGGATGAAGTTACCACCATCAACATTCTGACTAACCACAGCAATGTGCAGAGACAAGACACTGCCTTCGCCTATCAGCCTTATAACCCATGCCCAGTATGATGCTTCTGCACCAAAAGCCTCTTTGAAAGGCCTGGGAAGTGACTGAGGGCTCCCTCATCAAGGTCATCTGCTCAAGAACTAAACAGGAACTGCAGGAGATTAACAGACTGCAATAGGAGACATAAAGGACCACTCTGGAGAAGGGCATAATTTCCAACAATCTGGTGACTTCTGCCAAGCTGATGGTTGCTCTTGCAAAGGGCAGAGAGCAGAGGAGCAGTAAGTGGAAACCAACTAATTGACCAGGATGCTTGGGAGCTTTACGATGCTGGGGTGATGACGAATGGAACTGATCCCAAGTGGATAAGCATCATGACCAACCAAGACCATTGTGTACCAACTCCAGAAAATGTTCGAAAGGTAGAAGAACTACAGCCCTTATGACATTCTGGAGAGCATTAAGAAGGAGGTCAAAGGAGAACTGGAAAATGCATTCCTGAACCTGGTCCAGTGCACTCAGAACAAGCCACTGCACCTTGCTGTATGACTGCATGAAGGGCAGAGGGTACCATAACGTAGTCCTATTAGAATCATGGTCTCCCAAAGCCAAGTGGACATGTTGAAAATCAGTCTTGAATTCAAGTATGGCAAATCCCTGTACTACTAAATTCAGCAGGACACCAAGGGCGACTGTAGGTGCTGCTGTACCTGTGTGGTGGAGATGACTGAAGAGCACAACATAGTGGAGGACCCAGAAGTGGCCTTACCTGTGCCCACACCTAACAGTCTATAGAGAATCAACTGGCCACTAATGGAACCTTGAGTTTTTTCCTGTGAAGATGACAATAGAGACACATTCCCCATCTTAGCTGCCTTAGCACTGCCCGTCTTTCCCTTCACTCTCTCCTTTATGCTACAGAAATGAACATTCCAGGAAGTTGGATGTGCCGTCTATGAGACACTTTGCCTCTTGTGTACTATGTAATGAAAAAACCATTTTTACTTTAGAAACAAGAAAGGAAGGAAGGAAAGAAGGAAGGAAGATTTAATGTTGAAGATCGGGCTTATAACCTAAAACATATTATTTAATCTCTGTAATCCTCCATCTTCCATGGACAAAAGGATTAATAGTTAGTGGTAATAAGTGGTTTTTTGTTTGTTTGTTTTTAAAGATTTTATTTACTTATTATGTCTTCTGCCTGCATGCCAGCAGAGGGCACCAGATCTCATTCAAAGTGGTTGTGAGCCGCCATGTGGTTGCTGGGAATTGAACTCAGGACCTCTGGAAGAACAGTCAGTGGTCTTAACCGCTGAGCCATCTCTCCAGCCTGGTAATAAGTGTTTTTATGAGTAGAATATAAAAGGTATTTATGACAAGTCTCAGAACACATTCATAGCAAACTTCTAATTACTGCTAGAAATTATTTCTTTTTTTTAATTATTATTATTTTTTTTTTATGTGCATTGGTGTTTTGCCTGCATGTATGTCTGTGTGAGGGTGCCTAATCTCCTGGAACTGGAGTCACAGACAAGTGTGAGCTGCCATGTGGATGCTGGGAATTGAACTTGGGTCCTCTGGAAGAGCAGTCAGTGCTCTTAACTACTGAGCCATCTTTCCAGCCCCCTAGAAATTATTCTAACAAATTACTAATTTTTACCTAACTTGGAGTAGTTGATAAAAAGAGTTTAAATAAGAACTACTTAAAAGCTTAGTGTGATGGCTAGTGCTAGTTGTCAACTTCATATACCTGGGAAGAAGGAGGCTCAACTGAGGGATAACTTTCATTAGACTGGCCTGCAGGCATGTTTGTGGCATTTTCTTGACTGTTGACTGATGTGGGAGGGCACTGATTTTATTTTCATTGCTTTGTTTGTGTAGGTGTGTGGGTAGGTGCTGGTGCCGAAGCATTTGTGTAGATGTTAGGGAACAACTTTTAGGAGTGAGTTTTCTTTTTCCACCATTTGGGTTCTGGGAACTGACTAAATGAGGACCATCAGGGATGGGGGCCAGTATGTTACCGAATGACCCATCTTACCAGCCAGAGAAACTATTTTTATCCCCATTTTAGTGAAGAATGAAATTGGGGCTGACAGAGGTTAAATAATTTGCCCAAGGTCATAGAGTGAGTTACTAGTAGGGCCAGGATCCTTATACAATCTGCCTACAGACTGCACTGTACAACTCATGGGACACCATTCAACATGCTGTATAATGTGATAAGCCTGAGATTGATAACACACTGCATTCTTCTTCAACACAGTCCAGATAAAAAGAAACCAACTGAGTCAACTAAACATCATGCATTTGGTGGAACAGTTATGACATAGAGAACTACACAAGCTCCACATTATATCCTGGGGACCAAATTAATTTTTTGCAGCAGAGTACAGAAACTGGGAGTAGTAGCACACCTGTAATCCCAGCAATGGAGAGGCTGAGGCAGGGTGATCACAAGATGAGGCCAGACCCTATTTAAAACAAAACAAAACTCAAATAACATAAGAAAACAACAACAACAGACCCACAAAATGAGAAACAAGGAACCAAAAAACTAAAATAAGAACAGGAGAAAAAAATGTTATGAAAATACAGTTATCTACATTACTAAATAACCTGTCTGCAGTTGTATCTTCTAACCTCAGCTGTGGTAAGAAGTTATGACAGGAGTAGAGAGCTTCAGGGAAGCTGCTAGCATGCTAACAAGTGAGAGGATATGTTTCATGAGGTGGAGGGGCAGGAGGAGGGAAAAAGACTTACACAAGGAGCTTCAAGAGCCTGTGAACTTCACTCAGAACTCAGTGATGGTACACAGGTCAACTAGCAAATGCAGATCAAAGCCAATTCCCATACTGGAGGGAAAAAAATGGAACCATTTATGCTACAGTCAATTGCATGCAGTAGGTACAGCACACACTATGCAAATCTACCAGCCAGAGAGACGCTCCCTGCACTGCCTCCCTCCTAAAGCTTCCTCTAGTATGTGAAAGCGAAACTACCACTGGGCAGCCAGGTCTCTTAACTCTCACTCTACCCACTTTTTTCTTCAAAATCAAATCCTCTGATACCAAGACTAACATTGCTATGGTGCTTCCCTTAGACCAGTCAACCTGGTGAGTCAAATATTAACCTTCAGGAGGTAGCCCTGACCAGGAGGCCAAGCCATGGGAAAAGCAGAAGAAAGGATTCTGATAGAATTCATTTAATTTAAAAATAGAGCTTTAAAATGTTCCTTTCCTTCATCTTTTGTTTTAGAAAATAATGTGACAGTTTTCTTCTTCTTTTTTAATTGAAGGATCTACATTTTATTTTTTTCCCCGAGACAGGGTTTCTCTGTGGCTTTGGAGGCTGTCCTGGAACTAGCTCTTGTAGACCAGGCTGGTCTCGAACTCACAGAGATCCGCCTGCCTCTGCCTCCTGAGTGCTGGGATTAAAGGCGTGTGCCACCACCGCCCGGCGAAAGATCTACATTTTTAAAAGTCCTTTTTTGAGACAGGGTTGAGACACAGTCCTCTTGTCTGTTTCCTGAATGCTGGTTTGCAGGAGTGTGCCACAATAGACAGTTGAGGGCTCTAGACTTTTACAGTTGCTGGGTTTCAAAATTCTTATGAGAAAAACCAACTCATCTGCCTGGAATGCTCAAAGGAGTGCAAAGCGACTCTGGTGCAGGAAAACATTTAAGCTGTTATATCTTGTCAGGAACACCTCAGAAGTCCTGTCCTCTAGGCTGTTGTTAGTAGTACTTGGACTAACTAGCTGATGACCATTAGCTAGAACTTTTGGGGAAGGGTGAGCAATACCAGAGTGTCTGGTCTTCACATCTCATTACTGGTTATCTTTGGCCAGGGAGATTTATTAAACTGATGAGGACAATGAAGGAGGAAAATTATTCTATTTACAAGGGCACATTTACTATAAAAGACAGCAACAAATTAGTTTAAAGTTCTTGATGCTGACCAATAAATAGAGTAACAGACCCTGTTAGCTTCTCCTGTAATATAGAGTCTCCTCTTGGCTAACAGTACTGGATTCCCAGGGGCTACAGATGTCTGAGTGGTTAAGAGTACTGTTCTTGCAGAGGGCCTGAGTTCCCAGAACCTAGGACGGGTGGTTCACAACTGCTAGGAACTTCAGCTGTAGGGCATCTGCTTCCAGCTCCCTGTAATCATGTGCACACATCCAAACAGACACATAGACATAATTTAAAATAAATCTTTTAAGAAGTTACTGCATTCCTCTAAGGATGTTCAGGCCTCAAACTATTTCATAGCCTGAACAAAAGGCCACCAAAACATGTATCCATTCATAAGGAGGCTCTTTAAACATAAGCATGGCCAGGTGGCCTTCTGTGAGTCTGAGGCCAGCTTGATCTACACAGTGAGCTAGAGATAAGCCAGAGATACATGGTAAAGCCATGCCTCAAACATAAACGAACATGAACTAAAACAAAGCATAAGCACCACTCTCTACTTACTGGCCTGAGCTAGTGTTAGAGCACACTTAACCTTGCTGCCTGTGCACCTGTGGAAACAGGAGTCACTAGGATTATAGAGAAGGAACTGCAGTGGAACTTGAAGCCTTGATCAAATGTCTGGGGGCAATTTCAGGGGAAGAATTTGAAACTCAGTTATATCTTTTGGGTGACCAATCAGTTCACCTAAACAATCAATCAGACCACTTAAATGCTCAATTTAAAAGAAACCAAGGCAATGCTGGGGAAAACAAGCCTTGGCTTGTCCTGCTCAAGCCTTATTGGTACTGCTTGTTTCCTGTTCCTCGGAAAAGCGCTCCCCTCACTCACTCTTTACATTACTAAACTGTTTTCTCTAAAGGGGATTAGGACAGTGCTGGCAGAAGGTACTGCTTAATCAAGATTGCAGATAGAAAGCATGTTGGCTTCTCAGCAGTGATTTGGCTGGTGGCAATTGATATTGATTAGAAAGAACTAGGCAATCCTTCTTTATACTTCTAACCACTTTTGGGTCTGATGTGATGTTAGTGGTTAAGAGAACAGCAGCAACTGCTTTACATGCTTGTAAGGCAAAGAGATACCAGTTATTTGGGCTCAGTATCTGGAAAGGGTATCTTGACTCACATGCACTGAGGCCAAGGCTTTCTTCAACATACTGATAAACCAGGAGACCAAAGGGTCAATAAGCAATGGTGCTATAAAAACATGCATTCTTCTCCTATGGTACTGAGCAAGGCCATAAGCCATTTTCTACTTATGGTCATATACACATAACAAGAGGTCATATGTGTAGGATGCTTCTGTTTGTATGTATGTGTTTATGTACATGTGTGTGTGTCTGTTACCTTCCCTTACAGCGAACTGCCAAAGGCAGACTGTTCCCCACTTTACCTCTTTACCTGTTTATGAGGACCCCTGAGTATGTGTGCCTTAGCACCTTCACAAGCCGTCCTCATTGCTTCCAGTGATGGCGTGCCCAACAGATCTGTGATCAAATCCAACTGCAAGGGAACATGAAATACAGGTTGACAGTAGCTCACAGAAACAACTTCATTAGACTTAAGCTGTGGCCTCAAAATGAGTGGTACTTGTTTTTTTTTTTAACCTTAGAACCACAAACCTTCAAATAAGCTCTGGTAAGAGCCCTTTCTTAGCCAGGCAGTGGTGGCACACACCTTTAATCCCAACACTTGGGAGGCAGAGGCAGGTGGATCTCGGTGAGTTTGAGGCCTGCCTAGTATAAACAATGAGTTTCAGGACAGGCTCCAAAGCTACAGAGAAACCCTGTCTCGAAATACAAACAAACAAACAAGAATCCATTTTTTACTTTCTGGCCTTTTTTTTTTTTTTAAAATCCGTTTAGGTGGTACATACCTGTAATTCCGCCACTTGGGAGGCTAAGACAGGAAGATTGTGAGTGAGGCCAGTTGAGCTACATTCCATGGAAGCTGGACAGTGTTCTAACACTAGAGTAACTCTGGAGTCTGTATCTGTATGCTCCACTATTTTACAACTAGAGCATCTTTTCAGACAGTGGCTAGTGACTGTTCTCTTCAAACACTTAATGAATAGATTTTAATGTTTCAAATGAATTCAAGTCTATCAAGGGGCTAATCTACACATCAGATACATGTGATATAATAAATACCCAAAATATTCACACCTAAAATAAAAGCTAGGCACTCAATGTTTGGACCAGCACATACCTCTTACATTCAAGAAACCTCTTACAGTGGCAGAAAAATGTAGAACTTAGGAAAAAATATGATGCCACATTTATCTAGCTGGGTCCAATAAAGGAGACTGACAGTGGCCTCCCTGTAAACAAGTCTTTGTGGGTAGTAAACCACCTTACCAATTTTTGGGAGTGCTGAAATTGTTCCAACTCTATAACCCAATTAACAGCACATTTCACTCGGGTCCCCCTGGGATGGGAAATTCATGCTCAGAGAACACCATTCCCTGAATTTGCACTTATTGACACCATGGGCAGGCAGCCACCAGGACCAGTGTCAGGGCGATGGAACTGCTCGAGAAACTTGCTGTCCCCTGAAGAAGATCTTTAGATAGCATTCTAAGGGAAGCATGGTGGCGACACTTGCAGGGCTCTAACACTAAAGGCAGAAGGAACTAACTATTGGATGGGCATGCTTAGGAAGGTGTCTAAAGTGGGACAGGTCTATGGAGGAGAAACACCTTTATAAAGTCTGCTCGATGTTCAGTTCCCAGTGTGTTTATTTCTCAAAAACAGAAAGAAAATGCAAGAGAAAGTAACTACTTCCACATGTTGGACTACTTCAATGTCTGTTTACCCCAGGCACACTGATGATGATAAGAAGAGTTCTCTAGTGGTTTTGTTAAGACTGGAAGGCTTACACTTATACTTCTCCAGAACCTATTATGTGGTGGACCAGGCTGGCTTTGAACTTACAAAGGTCTCACTTCTCTTTCAAGTGTTGAGATTACAGGGATGTGCTTCTATACTTGGCAACAAAGACGTTTTTTCTTCTTTTTCTTTTAAAAAAAAGTTTTATTACTTTTTTTGTTTGTTTTGTTTTGTTTTTTTGTTTTTCGAGACAGGGTTTCCCCTTTGGAGGAAAAGCTTTGGAGCCAGTCCTGGAACTAGCTCTTGTAGACCAGGCTGGTCTGGAACTCACAGAGGTCTGCCTGCCTTTGCCTCCTGAGTGCTGGGATTAAAGGTGTGTGCCACCAATGCCTGGCAAAAAAGTTTTATTACTTAATGAGTATTTTTGTCTGCCAAACAAGTGTATGCAGTGTCTGAAGAGGCTAGCAGAGAGTGTCAGAACTCCTGCCATTGGAGTTACAGACACTTGTGAACTGTCAGACAGGTGTTGGGAATCAAACCCTGAAGCAGCCAGTGCTCTTAACACACTAAGCACCCTCCCTACCTCCCTCACCCTGCCTTTCTTTTGAAGCCGGGGTGGCCTGGAACTCTCTATGTAGACCAGGTAGAGAGTCACTGCTTCTGCCTCCTAAGTATAAGGATTCACACATATGCCATCATGCTTACCTTCAATTTATTTTTAAACCTAAAAAATTATTTTTAACTGTGTGAGCATACTTGAGTGCAAGTACCCTGCAGAGGTCAGAGAAGTTAGATCCCCCAGAGCTGACGTGATAGGTAACTTCGGGCCACCAGACATGGATGCTGGAAATCAAATTCAGGACTTCTGGAAGAACAGCAAGTGCTCTAAACCACTGGGCTATCTCTGCAGCTCCCTCCACCCCCTTCCTTCTTTCCTTTGAGACATGTTTTCTCTGTGTATCTCTGGCTGGAATTTGCTCTGTAGAGCAACTTGGTCTTGAACTCAGAGATTTACCTGCCTCTGCCTCCCAAGTGCTGGGATTAAAGGTATGTGCCACCACACCTGGCTGCAAATGCTTTCTTTTCCTTCCTTCCTTCCTTTCTTCCTTCCTTTCTTTCTTTCTTTCTTTGTTTTTTTTTTTTTTTTTTCGAGACAGGGTTTCTCTGTGTAGCTTTGGAGCCTATCCTGGCACTCGCTCTAGAGACCAGGCTGGCCTCGAACTCACAGAGATCCACCTGCCTCTGCCTCCCGAGTGCTGGGATTAAAGGCATGCGCCACCAACGCCCTGCAAATGCTTTCTTAAAACTGTGTTTCAATTACCTTCTGGTATTCTATGCTATACCTAAATATTTTAGTCCAATAATAAAGGTACGATTTGAAGAAATCAACACTAAAAGTGTATAGTCATCAAAAACACTTTCAAGTCATAGCCATTCAGCTGGAAGGAACAGATGTCTTTTAACAACTCAAGGCCATACTATGCGATTGCAGGGCCGAGTCTGCTGCCATGCACCAGTGCATGTGACAAAGTCAACACTTTCTCTAACAGGCTCCTAACTTGCAGAAAGAACCTCTGCAATCTTCAGCTTTATAACTTTCTGGCTTTCTAGTGAACCTGAATTTGCTAAAAGTTAATTAAGACAGCACAATGAATAAAACTCAAGATGTATGCAAGATGGTTCTCCCTTCAAATTGACATCGGGATTAAAAGCAAATGAAGCTGTAAAGCAAAAATCACACCTGCTGAATGGGACTCTGTGCCTGAAACAATATTCTTCGGCCCAGTAGTTCTGCAAAGATGCATCCGACAGACCAGATGTCAATAGCGTTACTGTAATGTCGGCTGCCCATCAGGATCTCTGGAGCCCGGTAATACTGAGTAACAACTTCCTGAGTCATATGACGAGATTCATCTAATTCTTCCACTCTGGCCAATCCAAAATCACAAATCTAAATAGAAAAGACAGTAAGACATCATCAAGCAGACATATACCTTCCTTTGTTCATTTTTGAGACAGCATAGCTTTTAAGCTGAGGATAACCTTGAGTTCTTGTTAACTTAACATAAACACAGACATTATCTGAGAAGATAGAACCTCAAATGAGTAAATAACCCCATGAGATTGGCCTGTGGGGCATTTTCACGTTGATGATTGATGTGTAAGGGTTTAGCCTACTGTGGGCCATACCATCCCTGGGCAGGTGGTCCTGGGTGGTTTAAAAAAAGGAGGCAGAGCAAGCCAGCACTCTTCCAAGGCTTCTGCTTCAGTTCCTACCTGGAGTTTCTGCCTTGGTGTCCCTGGATATGTAAATAAACCCCATCTCCCCCAAGCTGATTTTAGTTATGGTCTTTATCACATCATAGCAATAGAAAGTAAACTAAGACACACAGCTAGACAGACACATTTGTGCCTATCAAAACAGCAGCAACAAAGAAAACCACATGACACACACATGAAAACCTTGAGGGACTCATGAACTTTAAAAATCCTTAAGTGTTATGGGTATAATATATTCCTGCTATTATAAAAATATGGTCGCATTTGGACAAAATCCCAACTTTAATATTAGTATGTAAAATTATACATATTTTAATTTTGTATTATTTTATGTGTATCAGAGTTTTGCCTGTATGTATATATACCTGTGTAACATATGTGTGCTTGGTGCCCACGAAGGCCAGGAAATGGCATCAGATCTGGAGTTGATCAGCAGTGTGGGTGCTAGGACTCTAACCCAGGTCCTTTGTAAGAGCAGCTAGTGCTTTAACCACTGATGCATCTCTCTAGTGCCCCTCCCCTTTAAAATTACCTATCTTTTAAAAAGTATTCTACGCCAGGCTGGGGATGTGGTTTGGTAAAGAAGCGCCTGCCTTCATGTGCAAGGGCCTGGGTTCAATGCCAGCAACAGAAAAACTTTCATCTACTTTAAACTGATAATTAAACCAATGAACTTCAAACACAGCTGAATGCATACGTCAGGCTTAATCAAGCTAGTTCCAGATAGACTCATAGAAGGAGGTAGGATAAAAAAGGCCTACTTTGCTGGGCTTGGCACAAATGCTGTTTTCCTCTACTTTCCTTCCTTCCTTTCTGTATCTGGAGACAGGGTTTCTCTGTGTAGACTAGGCTGGCCTGGAACTCATTCTGTAGACCATGCTGGCCTCAAAATCAAGAGATCTGCCCACTTCTGCCTCCTGGTGCTGGAATTAAAGGTGTGTACCACCACTGTGCAGCTTCTACTTTTCTTTTAAAAAGTATTTCATTTTGTGTGTACATATATCCACATGTGTGCAAAAGAGGAATCAGATCCTCTGGAACTGGAGCTATATCCAGCTGTGAGCCACCATGTGGGTGCTGGGAACAGAACCTAGTACTCTGCAAGAGCAGTAGGCTTTTTAAACCACTGAGCCCACTCTCCTGCCCGATTTTTAATTTCTATCATGAGGAAAATTGTGGTGGACCTCCCACTATTCAGGAGTTTGGAAAATATATTTGTGTATTAGGGGCTTGAGAAATGCATACTGTGGATTTTGCTATTAATGAATCTCTTAACGAAGTACAATGAAAAGTAGGAACTAGGAAAGTAGTAAAAGTTGATGTGAGTTTTTTTTTTTTTTTTCCCCCACCTGCCTTTACTTCTGAAATGCTGGGGTTACCATGAGACATGGCCTCATCCTGACACCTAAACTGAGACTTGGGTATTATAAAATATAAAAAATTATTCTGTGGGGGAAGATTTGACTACCATATTGTAGAAATACATTCACTAGGTTCATATTCCCTTTCCTGGCACAACACGTTAGAGTGTTCTGACAAACAAGTCTGTGGTACTTTGAAAGAAAATGGCCCCCATAGGCCCATAGGGAGTGACACTATTAGGAGGTATGGCCTCATTGGAGGAAGTGTGTCCTGAGGGCAGGCTTTGAGGTTTCAGATGCTCAAGTTAGGCCCAGTGTGTCTCACTTTCTTCTTGTTGCCTGTAGATCCAGATGCAGAACTCTTGGCTACCTCTCCAGCACCATGTCTGCCTGTATTGCTGTCATGCTTCTACCATGACGGACTGAACCTCTGAACTGTAAGCCAGCCTCAATTAAATGTTTTCCTTCATAACAGCTGCTGTGGTCATGTTGTCTCTTAACAACTTCCTGTAAAAATGGAGCATCTGAAAAGGTAAGAATTTCTGAAAGATTGCCATTCTTTTTTGTGATGTTATAATCCTTATTTAAGTGTTTGAAAACAAAAGCAAACATGTAAAAAAGAGCCAGGACCATAAACTAGTTCTGATGGCCTTGACAAATGATGAGGCCGAAGAAAACTTCTCTTTATTTCTGGTGAATCAGGGAAAAATAATACTCTTGAGCCCAACATTTGATTTTTCTTGGATCTTTAAATAACTGAAAAGCTACCTTTAGAACACAGTTGCTATTCACAAGGAGATTCCCTGGCTTAATGTCTCGATGTAGAATGCCAGCTGAATGGAGATATTTCAAACCTGAAATAATAAATACAGTTAATTGCAGGTATTTAACCTTAAATGGAAATGGACGAGAAGATTTAAAATGATTCCCTAAACAAAAGCTAAAAAATATTACTAAAAGCTTGACTTAGTCCCCTTCAAAACACTGTAATTTTGTTACAGTAAGATAAAATGTCACACTGCACATGCAGTGTTTGCACATGTGAGAGACAATATCTATAATTTAAAAGATTACATGGTTTGAAGCTTAGGTAAGGCTGTCAGGCCCTGAAGTTAACACTGGCCATGCTCCTCTGTATGGTTACTGGATGGAGTTCTTCTATTGATACTCCCAACCCATGACTCTGAGCCTGCTCCAACAATGAGGTTTCCATTAACCTACTGGAGGCCTTTCCCAGGACAGGCATTTCAGTGACAGGACAAAACTCAGGGACATGCTTAGATCTGTCAGCAGCACTTGTGTCTACTGACAGTCAATAGGGCACTTAATCATCTCAAAATATATTTGATGTCTTAAAAGATTGGTCATCAGGACTGCTGTAAGTCTCAATCTCAAGCTGACTTTTGTTTTGTTTTGGTTTTTTGTTTTTCAAGACAGGGTTTCTCTGTGGCTTTGGGGGCTATCGTGGAACTTGCTTTGTAGACCAGGCTGGTGTCAAACTAAGAGATCTGCCTGCCTCTGCCTCCCAAGTGCTGGGACTAAAGGTGTGCACCACCATTGCTTGACCTGACTTCTTCTTCTTCTTCTTCTTCTTCTTCTTCTTTTTTTTTAAGGCATTTCTTCACAACTGTAAATGAACCAAGAATCTTTCCCATTCCCCCCTACCACAGAATATCAACAAATCCACTATAGGTGAACTTTTTGTTGTTGTAATGTTGCTTATGTGTTTTAATCCTTGGAAAATGTTTTCAATTTCTTTGTAGAATGTAATTCTATGAATTCTGTGAAATACTGTATTCATCAGACAAGAAAGTGGTTTCAGCTTTAAATAATTCTCCGCTTGTCAAGGTAGAACTCTGGACACAGCTGGGGGCTAGAGGCGGCATCAATCATATTGGCTTAAATTGCTTCACAGTCAGGTCTGTGCTCTTCATTCACAGTCTGGAATTACTTAGCTGCTGTCTCTACCAGTCTTTTCCATCTGCTTTGGGTTTTAATGGTCATTTTGAGCGAAGTGGGACTCAGCTATGCCTGGGGATACTCAGACAAGTCCACCGATTATTGGCTTGAAGGATGGATGTCTTCCATAGAGGATAGTCACTTTTTAGTCATCTGATGCCACAGGCTATGAAGAGCTAAGGGCAGTTAGTGGGATTTGTGACAAACCACTGTTTACCTGCCTTCCTAGATCAATCCACTCAACTGCCTTCTCTGCCCTAATAAAAATAAAAATATATTTGACCACCTTAAAAGCCTCTTGTTGGCCAGGATGTGACTAGCTGCTCAAGGATCCGAGCTCAATGCCTAGCACCTCTAACCCCAGGCCTCTCGTTTATCATCAAATACAAAAATAGTGAAACTACTTTGGTTTAAACAAAAAGATCTTTGGGGAAGAAGGTTTGGAAGGCCAGAATAAAGTTCACATGAGGAGCTAAATGACTCATTTACACCACCACACTGCCTTTTTCTGGATAAAGGAAAAGCTTACCTCGTAAAATCTGATAAAGAAAAACTTTGACATGATCTGAGCTGAGTGGCTGAGGAGAGACGATAATTTTATGTAGGTCACTCTGCATCAATTCTGTGACAACATATCTTCAAATTTTAAGTTAAGGAGACGTCAGAGAATTGGTTCCCAACCCCCTAGGTGTAGTCAGCAAATTAAAGAGCAACTTCCATTCTCAAGGCTGGGAAGTGAAGACAGCTAGCTTCTAGCCAGCCTGAGGAAGGTGAGAATTCCAGACACTACAGGATTAAACAGTGCCTAAATTAAAACAATTCACATGTTTTAGAACTGAAGGAAAAAAAAAAAAACAACAACAGTGATCTCCTACAATCATCACATGCAAGAGAAAAGTGCACGTAAACAACCAGGCCAAGAAGAAGAGTCATGATCCACTAGTCTCAAGATTTTGGTGAGCAACTGGGGTGTTCTTTAAAAAATGGGATTGGTGAGCCCATTTTAAAAACACCAGCAAAAAAGATCACAATCTACCCATCGACTGTGGCTTAAGTACTTTATAAAGTATGATATTGCCCAAAACACATGAAATGGCTAATTCAAGGCCAAGCCTCCTGACAATGGGAGCAGCTCAACCTTCCACCCCGTTAAATTTGCATGTGTTTATGAAAGCCTGCTCCTGCAGTTCGTGCTTCTGTTAGTTTGTACTTAGATGTAGTGTCAGGCTTTTGTTCAGTTGGCACGTGGCAGGAGATCAAAAGCCGGACACCGGGAAGCCATGGAGAGGCGGAATCCACAATTTTGACAACAGACACATAAATGTTACAGACATTAAAGAACACCCCCCCTTGCTATATTTACGTCAGACCAATAGACTTATGTTTTATTCTGTGTATAGTTAAAAACTCACTAAAAGTTTTCATATTATGGGAACTTTTCTTTAGATAATCTTCACTGCACAGCTTTTAAAGTGAGCAGTTAAGGACAACACAAAGGCAGGGGAGAATCTGTGCTAACATCTGACATAATGGTTGGAAGCTGCCCCCTCCTAGAGATGCTTTTAGATGGCTTTAGGACACTTGGGAGGCTTTGCTCATCTCTCACTGGCTGGTATTTCTGGCTCTTCTGTTCCTTCATTCCTCCCTGTCGAATGCTAGAACACCCCAGCCTTGGTCCTCAGCCCTTCTCTTCATCACACTCACCCTCCTGAATATTCAAATCCAGCCTACTCCTTTCCTTCACAGCACCAAACACAAACCTGGAAGTCATCCTTGGTATTTCAGCCTCTCCATCTTTCCACGAGAAAGCCCTGCTGGCTTTTTCTTCAGAGTTTACCTACAATTAGGCCTCCTCTCATCATACCTGTTGTCACCACTCTGACTGGAGACCCTAAAGCCCTAAAACACAGCAGCTAGCACAAACTGTTTTATGTATACATTGACATACTATACAGAAAATATAATGTTTAAGGTTTCTGTTAGAAGATGCAAGCCCTGTAGCAACCAGGCCTTAAGCAGAGAGGGCTGCAGGCAGGCTGGGGACACACCCAGCCCCAGTGCTACCCAGGTAGGAGGTTTCATGAGTAGTTATATCTTCAAATATATATTCTTTGAGACAGGTTCTATGTAGCTCTGGCTGGCCTTGAACTCAGAGATCTGTTTGCCTCTGCCTCCAGAGTGCTGGGACTAATTAGCATTGGTCACTCTTGAAGATTACACATTAATCAAGCCCTATTCCTCTACCCAGAGATAGCAACCACTATCATACAGTCTAAGTCACATGTGTTCCCCTGCCTGCTTCCTCAAAAAATTGCATGTGACAGAGGGAGAAAAGGCAAGAAGAGATACTTGGGATAGAAGTGCATCGAGAGATTTAATAATCAAGTATAAATATGTGAGTTCAAAGAGAGACCAGGGGCATTCCGGGATGGGTAGAAAGGAATAAACTGATGTTAAGATGTCATAATGGCACACTCATTATGTTCTGATGAGGGCCCTCATCAGAAATGCATAGAGCATTTGTAGGTTAAATAATGTGATATTTGCCATCTATTTTAAAATACTCCAGCCCTCCCCTAAGGGGTGGAGCAGGGATGGAGAAGACTGGAAAAAAATGAGTAAAATGAAGCTGGGCCATCCAGGAGTTCTTTGTCTTGTCTTGTTGGTTGGTTATGGTTTTTCAGCACAGGGCTTCTCTGTGTAGCCCTGGCTGTCCTGGAAATCACTCTGTAGACCAAACTGGTCTCGAACTCAGAGATCCGCCTGCCTTTGCCTTCCAAGTGCTGCAGGAGTTAAATTCTTATCTCTACTTTTTTTCCCCTGAAAAACAAAAACAAAGCAAAAGAAAAACTTTCTTTGTAGAAAAATAGGTAAATGAAAGAGAAGATGAAAACTACTCATGACCCCTTTTTTTTCTTTCTTTTAAACAAGTCGAATGTAGTTATTCAGATTTTTTATATTAAGAGCTTATTTAATATTCCTCTTTTATACTATGTCATGAGTTGCTCTTGAAGCTGTATGCACTGCTATCCAAGAGTATCTCAATTATGTGTGGTTCCTCCCTGGTAAATTTGTTTTTTCCAGAAAAAAGCCTACTAGAAAACACAGGACGGGATGCCACTGTAATCAGAGAAGCCGAGGATCAGAATGCCTATAGTTTCTTACAAGCTAGGGGGATGATGTACTCTGCTACTTCCCCCACATCCTGTAGTCAATCTTTTGTGATTCTTCTGCCTCCTGAGGCAACAAATGTCTCTAATTCCTGTGCTTTTTTTTTTTTTTTTTTCTTTAATATCCTGGAAGAATCAACCTGTTTTGTGTTTCACTACAGCCAGCTTAGGTTTCTACCTTTGTGAGTCTTAACTTCAAATCATTTACTAATATTTTAGGATAGTTGTAGAAGGAATGAAAAGTTTCAGGTTGAAAACCATTCACATGTTTCCTGGTCACATGTATGTGTGAACAGGAGAGAAAAAGAGGAACATGGTAATGAGAGCCAATCTTGTGCTTTCCCAGTTTTCTCTTTCTTTCTTTAACAGAATCTCATATAGCCCAGGCTGGCTCAACTTGATAGCTAATGGTAACCTTGGATTCTGGGCCCAGCAGTCCCTTTTGCTTGCAGTAAGCACTTTACCCACTGAGTCATCTCTTTTGGTTTTGGAGACAGGCTCCCATGTTTCAAAAAAGGAGGACCTCACTATAAAGCTGAGGATGACCTTGAGTTCCTGTTATTTTTGCCTCCACCTCCTTGGTACCGGGATTACAGATGAGCACCATGCCTGGTTCAACAGATGCTGGGATGCAAACCCTGGGGCTTAAACATGCTAGGTGTGCTTGCTACTTTAATGTCAACTTGACACAGCTTCTGAGAGGAGGGAGCCTCTGTTTGACTGCAGCCAAGACTACAGGGCATTTTCTTATTAGTGATTGACAGTCCAGTCCATTGTGGGTGGGGCCAGCCCAGGCTGGTGGTCTCAGATAAGAATGTAGGCTGAGCCAGCCATGGGGGCAGCACCCCTTTGTGGCCTGTGCATTTGTTCTAGCCCGGTTTGAGATCCTGTCCTGACTTCCTCTGATGATGAAAGTGATATGGAAGTGTTAGCCAAATAAACCCTTTCCTCCCCAACTTGTTTTCTGGTCATGGTGTTTCATCATAGCAATAGTAACCCTAACTAGACAAACACCTGCAGCTGAATCACATGCCCTGCCCCTTCACTGTATTTTCTACTGAGTAATACATCTTCACTTATAAGGCTGCTTTCCATGTTAAGATTTTTTTTTTTTTTTTTTTTTTTGAGACAGGGTTTCTCTGTGGCTTTGGAGGCTGTCCTGGAACTAGCTCTTGTAGACCAGGCTGGTCTCAAACTCACAGAGATCCGCCTGCCTCTGCCTCCCGAGTGCTGGGATTAAAGGCGTGCGCCACCACTGCCCAGCCCATGTTAGGAATATTAATCCTTCTGCATACACATTTTTTTCCTAAGAATTATTAATCATAGGTCAAAAATAGAAAAACACTATTTTAGACCAAGCACATATACACACAGAATTTTGAGACAAGGTCTCACTAAATATATGTAGTTCAGGCTTGCCTCCAACTTTCAGTCTCTCCAATAGTGGGATTACAAGTGTAAGCCACGACTTCTGGTTTCAATCTTTGAGTTGTGTTGGCTCTCTAAATTTTAAGGATGGAGTAAATGAACATTATACAGAGGAAAACTAAGTCAAACAGAAAAACCTGCACAGATGCTATTATTGTGTTCCAATGATTTGAATGCTGATGTTCCCCCAAAGCTCTCAAGCTGAAATCCTAACCCCAAATTACTGGGGGGGGGGGGGCGCCTTTGGGAGGTGATTAGCTTATGAGGGCAGACTCCTGTGAATGGGATTAGTGTCCCCATAAAAGAGGCCCAAGGGAGCTCGTTAGTTCCTTGAACTATTGTAGGTTATAGTAAAAATACTCTTCAGGAAGAAGGCCCTTATCAGACACCAAATCCATCAGGTGCCTAACTCTGAACTTTCGAACCTCCAGAACAAACGCCAGAAGGTGAGGTTTTATCAGGGAAAACAAGTCCTAAAGGACACAAGAAAGCATTTATCTTTGTGGGATGTCTGCCACGTCTTCAGACTTTGCTTACAGCTTTCTCCAGTACTGAATGTTCTTTTCTTGCTTGGATGGAGAACAGGCTCTATCTATTCTGCCTTCAGCACTACAGAACTGGCAGCCCGGTTGCGACGCCAGAAACTTCACAGTGGTGGTATGACAGCTCATATGCAGGGAAGCAGAAGGGCAATAACTTCATTTTCACGTCATCAGGGTATAGTCGTGATGCTATTCCAGTAGTTCTCAACCTTCCTAACGCTAAGACCATTCAATACAGCAGTTCCTCTTGATATGGTGACCCAACCCCTCAACCATAAATATTTTTAATTGCTACTTCATACTATACTTTTGCTACTGTTATGAATTGCGATGTAAATATCTGATATGCAGGATATCAATGCGACCGACCCCTGTGAAAGGGCTGTTTGATTCTCAAAGGTTAAGAACCACTCTTCTAGAGAGAGATTGTGGCAACAGCTGCATATCACTGTGAATGAACCTAAGTAACTAAACTATACACCACCAGCATCCCAAG